GATGTTTCTTTAGAAACTCAAACTCAGCCTTTTAAAAATATCTGATTCTGTTTTTACAAACTTTCCTAAAAATATAGATATCTATTGCTTCATATCATATCACCCCACAATTTAGAGGCTTAAAACAATGAACATTTATTATTTCACAGTGTCTGTAGGTCAGGAATCTGGGCGCAGTGGAGCTGAGTGGCTCTGGCTCAAGGTCTCTCACGAGGTTGTAGTCAGGTTGGCAGCGGGGCTACAGTCTCATCTCTAGGCCCAACTCAGGAGGGTCTGCTTCCAAGCTGACTCATATGATTGTTGGCAGGATTCAGTTCCTCACAGGTTTGGACTGAGGTCCCCAGTTCCTCGTTGGCTGTGGCCAGAGGCTCCCTTCAGTTCCTTGCCATACAAGACTCCCAATAAAGCAGCTCAGAACATCATAGCAGCTGGCTTTCCTCAGAGTGAACAAATGAGGGAGCACCATGACGAAAGCCGCAATATTTTCTATTCTAATTTCGCAAGTAACATCTCATTACTTCTGTCGTATTTTATTCACTAGAAGTGAATCAATAAATCCAATCCACGAGGGCTGGCCCCGTGGCCGAGTGGTTAAGTTCGCGCGCTCCGCTGCAGGCAGCCCAGTGTTTCTTTGGTTCGAATCCTGGGCGCAGACATGGCAATGCTCATCAAGCCACGCTGAGGAGGCGTCCCACGTGCCACAACTAGAAGGACCCACAACGAAGAATATACAACTATGTACCGGGGGGCTTTGGGGAAAAAAAGGAAAAAATAAAATCTTAAAAAAATAATAAAATTTAAAACAAAAAATAAATAAATAAAAATAAATCCAATCCACACTCACAGGAAGGGGATTATACCAAGGTGTGAATACCAGGAGATGGGGATCACTGAGGTCCATCTAAGAGGCTACCTACCTTAGCCAGGCTATTCTTCTCTTGTCTAGAGAACCTTCCTGGCCTCAGGAAAAGAAATGCTGCTCATCTGAGTCTTTCCCAATAATTATTCTACCCCTAGTACCTAAGCTTAAATCTGTGATAGCATATCCAGGGTCATTTAATATTGAATTATATCTTCTTCTGCATCCTGACCCCCTAAAACGTTCGCCAGGAGAACATATACAGTCCTCTATCACAATAAATACAGACCTTAAATTAAATATATGATACAAGGATAGCACTTATTTATTTGAGTAAATACGGTATAGAATTTACTTTAAAATAAAGCATAGTTTTCTGTTAAATGCTGCATCAAAATCTCAACACAAAAATATACAACGTGCCATGTATAGTAAGGACTTAAAAATATTTATTAAATAGACTTGCTTATAGATTTTTTTATTAAGATTATGATAGTTTACAACCTTGTGAAATTTCAGTTGTACATCATTGTTATTCTTATTGTGGGTACACCACTTCACCCTTTGTGCCCTCCCCCCACCCCGCCTTTCCCCTGGTAACCACCGATCAGATCTCCTTGTCTCTATGTTAACTTCCACCTGTGAGTGGAGTCATACAGAGTTCGTCTTTCTCTGTCTGGCTTATTTCACTTAACATAATACCCTCAAGGTCCATCCACATTGATGTGAATGGGACGATTTTGTCCTTTTTTATGGCTGAGTAGTATTCCATTGTGTGTATATACCATATCTTCTTTATCCAATCATCAGTTGCTGGGCACTTAGGTTGGTTCCATGTCTTGGCTATTGTAAATAATGCTGCGATGAACATAGGGGTGCATGGGACTCTTGGAATTGCTGATTTCAGGTTCTTAGGATAGATACCCAGTAGTGGGCTGGCTGGGTTATAAGGTATTTCTATTTTTAACTTTTTGAGAAATCTCCATACTATTTTCCACAGTGGCTGCACCAGTTTGCATTCCAACCAACAGCGTATGAGGGTTCCTTTTTCTCCACAACCTCTCCAACATTTGTCACTCTTGGTTTTGGATATTTTTGCCATTCTAACAGGTGTAAGGTGATATCTTAGTGTAGTTTTGATTTGCATTTCCCTGATGATTAGTGATGATGAGCATCTTTTCATGTGTCTATTGGCCATCCTTATATCTTCTTTGGAGAAATGTCTGTTCATGTCCCCTGCCCATTTTTTGATTGGGTTGTTTGATTTTTTGTTGTTGAGCTGTGTGAGTTCTTTATATATTATGGAGATTAACCCTTTGTCGGATAAGTAACTTGTAAATATTTTATTCCCAATTAGTGGGCTGTTTTTTTGTTTCAATCCTGTTTTCCCTTGCCTTGAAGAAGCTCTTTAGTTTATGAAGTCCCATTTGTTTATTCTTTCTGTTGTTTCCCTCGTCTGAGGAGTTATGGTGTCTGAAAAGATTCTTTTGGAACTGATGTCAAAGAGTGTACTGCCTATATTCTCTTCTAGAAGACTTATTGTTTCAGGCCTAATCTTTAGGTCTTTGATCCATTTAGAGTTTATTTTTGTGAATGGTGAAAAAGAGTGGTCAATTTTCATTCTTTTACATGTGGCTGTCCGGTTTTCCCAGCACCATTTGTTGAAGAGACTTTCTTTTCTCCATTGTAGGCCCTCAGCTCCTTTGTCGAAGATTAGCTGTCCATAGATGTGTGGTTTTATTTCTGGGCTTTCAATTCTGTTCCATTGATCTGTGCACATGTTTCTGTACCAGTACCATGCTGCTTTGATTACTGTAGCTCTGCAGTATGTTTTGAAGTCAGGGATTGTGATGCCTCCGGCTTTGTTCTTCTTACTCAGGATTGCTTTAGCAATTCGGGGTCTTTTGTTGCCCCATATGAATTTTAGCATTCTTTGTTCAATTTCTGTAAAGAATGTCATTGGGATTCTGATTGGGATAGCGTTGAATCTGCAGATTGCTTTAGGTAGTATGGACATTTTAACTATGTTTATTCTTCCAGTCCATGTGCATGGAGTGTCTTTCCATCTCTTTATGTCGTCATCAATTTCTTTCAAGAAAGTCTTGTAGTTTTCATTGTAGAGATCTTTCACTTCCTTGGTTAAATTTATCCCAAGGTATTTTATTCTTTTCGTTGTGATTATGAATGGGATTGAGTTCTTGAGTTCTTTTTCTGTTAGTTCATTGTTAGCGTATAGAAATGCTACTGATTTATGTATGTTGATTTTATATCCTGCAACTTTGCTGTAGCTGTTGATTGTTTCTAATAGTTGTCCTATGGATTCTTTGGGGTTTTCTATATATAAGATCATGTCATCTGCAAACAGCGAGAGTTTCACTTCTTCCCTCCCTATTTGGATTCCTTTTATTCCTTTCTCTTGCCTAATTGCTCTGGCCAACACCTCCAGTACTATGTTGAATAGGAGTGGTGAAAGTGGGCACCCTTGTCTTGTTCCTGTTCTCAGAGGGATGGCTTTCAGTTTTTGTCCGTTGAGTATGATGTGGGCTGTGGGCTTGTCATATACGGCCTTTATTATGTTGAGATACTTTCCTTCTCTGGGCATTTTATTGAGGGTTTTTATCATAAATGGATGTTGGATCTTGTCGAATGCTTTCTCTGCATCTATTGAGATGATCATGTGTTGCTTGTATATTTTTGCGAATCAATTAATTTAGTGCTTTTAGAGTTCTTTTACCTATGTAGAATAAAATCATTACTGGTTAGATTTTGCTATCTTGAAGTTTTTATTAAAAGCACAAATAATAACATATTCATGTTCATAAGAGCGTGCAAACTTAACCACTCAGCTACAGGGCTGGCCCCTAGAAGTTTATTTTGAATTAGAAAATAAAGATTATATTAAAGGGGCCGGCCCGGTGGTGCAGCGGTTAAGTGTGCACGTTCCGCTTCTTGGCGACCTGGGGTTCGCTGGTTCGGGTCCCGGGTGCAGACATAGCACGGCTTGGCAAAAGCCATGCTGTGGTAGGCGTCCCACGTATAAAATAGAGGAAGATGGGTGTGGATGTTAGCTCAGGGCCAGTCTTCCTCAGCAAAAAGAGGAAGATTGGCAGTAGTTAGCTCAGGGCTAGTCCTCCTCCTCAAAAAAAAAAAGCTTATATTAAAAACAATTTCATCAATTAGTTAGTGATTTGGGAGCCTGAGTGAGAAGTTGGTTCAGTATATCACTGTTTATATCAAAATAAATTCCACATAAATTAAATATGTAAACATTAAAAAGAACAAACATAAAACATAAAATTATATTAAGAAAGCATATGTAAATATTTGTATACTCTTAAGAGGTGATCTTTCTAAACATGACATTCAACCCATAAGCTATAATAGAAGAATTTGACTATATTAAAATTAAATATTCCTGTATGGCAAAAATAGGTAAAACGTCATTGTAAAGTCAGAAGCCAATATGGGAAAAAAATATTTACCACACATGTAACAGGAAGTGTTGTAATTCCTTTAATTGAAAAAGAGCTTTTGCAGTTCAATAAGAAAAATGATACTTGGCTAAACAGGCAATTCAAAGGAAAGAAGTATGTATAGTTAATACGTAATTAAAAAGGCAAAACATAGATTAAAAGGTACTACATATATTAAAATGGTGCCACATATATTTGAAAGTTGCCACATATACTAAAAGTCATACATATATTAAAAAGATGATAGCAAATAAAAATACATGCATAAAAAGATAATTTTTTAAATGCAAAAAAATTTGTTTGCTTCTCAGAATGGCACACATTTAGAAGACTGGTAACACCCATTTTTGGAAAGGTAATAGGGTAATATATTGTTGCTAGCAGTAAAACTTGGTACAACCTTTTAGAGTTTTTGTTGTAGTGACATGGAAAGATGCTCAAATATATTGTAAAGTGAAAGTAAAAGACAGTTCAAAAGCGTTACAATATGTACATTGAAAAAATATGTGAGACTTTAGCAAACAGTTAACATCGATTTTCTCTGAATAGGATTGGGAGGGTCTGTTTTATATGTCACCTTTTGCTACAATTTATAATTAAACTCTGTTACCTTTGTGATCTGAAAAAGTAATATTTTAAAAAGGCAACTTTACAATTTCTTTTTACAGGAGATTACATGCTTGATGCAAAGCCAAAAGAAATTTCAGAAATTCAACGTTTAAACTATGAGCAGGTAATAGACACAATTTTTTTTTACATTAAAATATATAATTTTTAACTTACGGATGTATTCATTGGTCCCTATCAGTGGCTTTGCAGGCATATTCTTTGTTTTCTTTTTTTACAGTTCTTTAAAAATGTAAAAAACATTTTTATCCCTGTTTTATATGAGCATCTATGCTATATAGAATGAAACATAGATATCATTCTACAGACCTATGTAGAATGATAACCTGGTATTTTCCTTCAAAAATTGAAGTGAATTTGTCATTGATGCATCTTTTCTCATTTTATTTATATTTTATAACTAAGTTATATTTAGGAGAAAGTTGAGCAAATGATGTCTGAAGTATGGCATTAGGAAAAAATCTGCTGTTTCATACTTTCAATGTGTCCACATGTCTTGGCATGTTCTTTAGAGATTCTGTTCTGTAATATAGGAGGGGTCACTAGGTTCAAAATTAGTGGAGCTGGAAGAAAGCAAGCAGAGCTTCATTTTCTTCAGTATTCAAGTAATGCAAAATTTCTTGAATTTGAATGTTCAGATAGTCTAGTCCTAATAGAATTGAGAAGCCAACATGTTTCATTGCACTGTGTAAGGTAGGAAATCTATAGCTAAAGCCAAACTGGTACATTAAATCATTTAAATCTATTGGAATTTGTATCTTAAAGCAGTGATTTCCAAACATTTTCCACAATAGAAACCTCTTTTCAAAGGAAATCTTACTCTAACCTCCAATACATGAAACCAGTAAATGATATTTTATAAGTATAAAGTGATAAGGTTCAATTTATATCGTTTATTTATCAAATTTATATCATTGCTTATTGAAATTAGTGAGACTATTTTGATTAATACAAAAACTTGAAATTAGGAATTATGGATGATATTTGCAGTTTCATATTAACCTCGAAGTTCATTTTACTTCTGTTGCACAGTTTTGAGAAAATCTTGATTGATGAGTGTTTGCAAATGATATAAGCATTTCGTTTGTTTCAAGTCCATCTTGCAGTCTCAAGATCCACTTCCATTAAGGTGATCTAGACTCTTGGAAAATGATTGGAATTAAAGTTTTGTTTCAAAGTTGAAACAAACAATATCTAACAACTACTTGCATTTCTTATAAACATGTCAGACAAAAAGTACTGTCATTTAAAATAAGCTCTAAAATTATTTATAAGGTATTACGATTACATTACCATTAGTTTTGAGAATAGTATGTACCCAGCTGATGACAGGGCTAGGTCTAATATTTCACAAGTGTGATGTGGTAGTGTTCTTTTTTGTATGATTTTATGGGAGCAGAAATGTCCTAAATTTTAGAAAGACCAATGTAGAGCTACAATCCTCCTAGTTAAAACCTCTTTACCAGAAGTTGTAAACAGCATATTTTTTCCAGCTTTGCTCAATGATAGATACCCTGACAACACAAGAAAATACTGTGTGTATGTGTTTGTGTTTATGACAGGTTTTTTTTAATGATTGAAGATATGTTTTAAAAATATATTTTATATTTAAATTTAAAATATTTCACCATGTTAGAAATACCTTTAGGAAAAATTCTAAGAAACAATTTAACTACTACCTTAAAGGGACCAATAGTAATCCCTTCTTGTGATATAAGCAACCATCCCTAGGATTTATATTTTATAATATTAATTATCATAATTTGGATTTTGGAACAAGATGGCAAAATACCCTCTTTAACCCTTTGCTTATAAATTTTATTTTTTATCAGTTTTATTAATCTTTATGGATATTATCAAATGGTGTCGATTTAGTGATTGTAATACCATGTAATCTATAAAAAAATGTAGAAGTTATATAAAGGTGTAAGCATGAGCCCAGGAACTATTAGAAATTATACTTCCCCGAAGGAAAATTGGGCAACCAAGAATTTAACAAATATAGAAGAAAAAATTGGTAGTAGTGGAATTATAATCCTACAGTTGCTCCCTGTTGTTACTATCTTCTCAGGTTGATCATTGTTATGGCCTTAAAAAATTTTTTTTAACACTGAAGGGAAAAAGTGTGAGCTGATTGTTTTCAAAGATTCAACTTTTGGGAAGATTGAGAAAATATATTGTTTTAGGGGAACATAGTTATTAGGAAGAGCTGAAACTGATGAAAGCCAAAGATTATGTAACTATGTTATCCTGTAAATTCTTTTTCCATAAATTTAAAACATTTGAATAATTTCTATTTTTCAGTCTAGACTGTCTCTTAGAATGGAATTTTATAAGATATTTGGTCAAACAAAACTTTGTGCTTATGACCTGAATTTGTCTTTTTCAGATTTCAGAGAGAGTTCTTAGTTTCAATATAACAGGATTTATTTCATGTTCACCCTATCTACTATAAGCCCTTCAGTAGGCTGTAGTCTACTTCTATTTTATAGCTACAGTATGTAGCACAGTGTCTGATTAACAGTAGGCATTAAGTAAAATTTTATTAAATTTTATATATTGATTTTCTTTGTTTTATCAAATATATCCTCTATATAATGTACCCATATTTAATGTATTAAAATGGTTAGGAAAAAATATGCTTTAAAATCGTCTTCATTACAGTCTTATGTGACCAAATGACTCCTTAATTTGGGCAGCAAGTCTTTTTGATCAAGCCTGTCTTTCTCTCAGGTTTCATTTCCCACCACTTTCTGCAGCAGAGTTTTTTTTCCAAGCTTTTTTTCCAAGCTTCCCAAGACTCACTATTTTGCTTTGGTCGTTATTTTTAAAGAGGCTCTTTTTTTTTTTTTTTTAAGCAGTTTACATTCATAGCAAAATTGAGTAGAAAGTACAGAGAGTTCTCATATACCCATGGTTCCCCCCATCACCACAATCTCCCCCACTATTAACATCCTGTGCCAGAGTGATAACATATGTTATAATCTATGAACCTACACTGATACATAATTATCACCCAAAGCCCATAGTTTACATTAGGGTTCACCCTTGGTGTTATACATTCTATGGGTTTTGACAAATGTGTAATGACACGTATCCACCATTATAGTACCACACAGAATAGTTTTGCTGCCCCTAAAATTCCTCTGTGTTCTGCCTATATATCCCTCCCTCCTCCTAACCCCTGGCAACTACTAATCCTTTACTGTCCTCATTGTTTTTCCTTCCCACAATGTCAATTGGAATCATACGATATGTAGCCATTTCAGATTGGCTTCTTTCACTTAGTGTTATACATTTAAATTTCCTCCATGTCTTTTCATGGCTTGATAGCTCATTTCTTTTCTTTTTTTCAGTTGTGGTTAAAAAACAAAATATGAAATTTTCTCTCAATCATTTTTAAATGTATAGTTCAGTAGTGTTAACTAATATTCACATTGTTGTGTAACAGATCTCTACAGCATTTTCATCTTGTAAAACTGAAACTATACTCATTGAACAACTCACTAGTACTCCCTCCCTCCAACTCGTGGCAACCACAATTCTACTTTCTGTTTCCATGATTTTGACTCTGTAGATATCTCATATAAGTGGTATCACATAGTATTTGTCCTTATGTGACACCTTATTTCACTCAGCATAATGTCCTCAAATTTCATCCATGTTGTAGCATGTAATAGGATTTCTTTCTTTTTTTAAGGCAGAGTAATATTCCATTGTGTATATATATATATATATATATATATATATACTACATTTTCTCCATCTATTTATCTGTCAGTGGACATTTGGGCTGCTTCTACCTCTAGGCTATTGTGAATAATGCTGCAGTGAACATGGGTATACAAATATCTCTTCAAGATGCTGCTTTCAGTTCTTTTGGATATATTCCCAGAAGTGAGAGAGGCCTTCCTCTTTGACTAAAAACTTTTGTTTTTAGGCTTCTTGGTCCAAAATAGGTCCCTCACTCTTGTCACTCTGTACATCTTTGTCCTGTTCAGTTTTTCTCACTAATACTTGACATTATATTATGTTTATATATTTGTCTCTCATAGTAGAATGTTAGTTACATGAGATCAGAAACTTTGTTTTATTTGCTATTATATCTTTAGAACTCAGAAAGTGCCTGACACATAGTAGGTACTTAGTGATAAAAATTGGTTGAAGGGATGAATAAATTGGATAAAATGGAAAATTAGGAGTAAATGTGCCTGCATTTAAGTATCTTTTTTGTTGTTGTTGCTTGATTTTTCTCATCTTTACCCTTCCTCTTTCTGTTTTCAGAATATGAGTGATGCTATGGCAATCTTGCACAAACTACAGACAGGCTTGGATGTAAATGTAAAATTCACTGGTGTTCGAGTGTTTGAATATACACCAGAATGCATAGTATTTGATCTTCTTGATATTCCTTTGTACCATGGGTGGTTAGTGGACCCTCAGGTAAGTAGAAAATTTTAAATTATATAAACACAGATGTAGTAAAAGTTTATTATTTTGGCAAAGTAATCTAGATTTATATTTTCTTATACTTATGTTTTTTGTGCTTTTACTTGGAATTAGCCAAATTATGAAGCTAAGGGCACAGTCCTCCAGACTGCTAAATTTGCTCAAGACTTGAAGGAGTTAGGGGCCAAATACAAAGCTGAGTCTGCATCCTCCCCAACTCTTGTTATTATCTGTCTTTTTGATTATAGTCATCCTAGTAGGTGTAAAGTCATATCTCATTGTGGATTTGTTTGCATTTCTCTGGTGACTAATGATGTTGAGCATCTTTTCACGTGTTTATTGGCCATTTGAATATCTTTGGAGAAGTGTCTGTAGATCCCTTGCCTGTTTTTACTAGTCTCTTTGTTATTGAGTTGCAAGAGTTCTTTATATATCTAGGTATAAGTCTCTTATCAGATATATGATTTGCAAATATTTTATGGGTTGTCTTTTCACTTTCTTGATAGCTTCTGAAGCACAAAAGTTTTTAATTTTGATGAAGTCCAATTTATCTATTTTTCCTTTTGTTGCTTATGCTTTTGGTATCCTACCTAAGATGGCTTTGCCTAACGCAAAGTCACAAAGATTTACTCTTATATCTTTTTCTAAGGATTTTATAGTTTTTTTTTTTTTAAAGATTTTATTTTTTTCCTTTTTCTCCCCAAAGCCCCCCGGTACATAGTTGTATATTCTTAGTTGTGGGTCCGTCTAGTTGTGGTATGTGGGATGCCGCCTCAGCGTGGCTCAATGAATGGTGCCATGTCCGCGCCCAGGATTCGAACTGACGAAACACTGGGCCGCCTGCAGCGCAGCGCACGAACTTAACCACTCTGCCACGGGGCCGGCCCCAGGATTTTATAGTTTTAGTGCTTACATTTAGGACTATGATCCATTTTGAGTTGATTTTTGTGTATAATTTGAGGAAGAGATTCAATTTTGTTCTTTTGCATGTGGATATCCACTTGTCCTAGTACCATTTCTTGTAAAGGTTATTCTTTCCCCCCATTGAATTATCTTAGTACTCAGAATGATCTTTGTAAAACAAACCCTCCCCTTTATCCCTATGGCCTCCTCCCTTCCTTAAAAGCCTCCAGTGTAACTAAAATAAGATGCAGAATCCTGATGAGAGTTTTCATGATATGCTGCGTGATCTAGACTCTGCCTGGCTGTCCGACTTTACCTATGTAGTTCTCCCACTTTTTTACTACCCTTCTGCAACATGAACTGCTTTCCTATTCTTCAGACATATTAAGCTCATTCCTACATTGAGTTTTTGTACCAGCTGATTGCCCACTGTGGAACACTGTTATACTACCCTAACACATTGTTCTCTCAGATCTTCACATTTCTGGTGTCTCATTATTCAGGTCTTAGGTCAAATATCACCTTGTTTAGAGCAGCCCTCTCTGACCAGCTTGTTGAAATTAGTCACCTTCCTTTTCCTCAGTCATTTCCTCTCCCATGACCCTATTTGATTTTCTTTACCACTTATCATTATCTGGAATTCTTATTTATTCCTTTACTTGACTGGCTGTCATCTCCCACTAGAATGAATGTTTTATGTGGGCTAGGCTGTTATTTCTCATTGTTTAGAACAGTGCCTGGCACATAGAAGGTTCTCAATAAATATTGACTGATGGAATGAAGTATGAATGCATACATGCATTAACTACAGGGAAGGTGAGATCACAATAGCAAGGACTTGGCAGTGTTTCTTCATCCCTGTCCATTGGTAAAAGCAACTGGTATTGCGGGCAATGAAAGGATGGCTTACTGTAAGCAGGGCATCTGTATCTGTATTGGCACTCTGTCTCTAATAATATCGTTGAAAAATCTAAACATGTCCAGCATTTTACACATCCAAGGTGAGCCATGCTGGATCCTGGCAGATGACAATGCCAGGTAGCCTAGATTCTTGAGGAGAATGAACTGAGGAACTTAAGCCTGAGTTCTCAAAAAATTTGGACTCTGATCATCCCTCTGACTGTATGTGTAGCTATATTTTGTCTGATAAACAGTTGAATTTATATGCTTAAAGAAAAAATGTGCTGTAATGTAGAACAGAGATTGTTCATCAGACTTTTCTGTTCTACACAGTGGTTTTCAAACCTTGGAAGTGCCTGGGGGCTGTGCTTTTTATCTATTTTACTCACTTCTTTTGTGACAGAAGCATTCTGCTGCAGAGAAAGAAAAAGAACAAGGCAAAAGTTTGAATACATAGGTCTGTAGGAACTATCTCTCAGAAATGGCTAGGTCTTTGTATTCCAGTTATGTGTTCTGCAAATAATTATCTTGCATATAAATATCAGCAGTTCTCTAGAAAGTGGGCACCAGAATTCAGCCACTGAAAAGATATTTCTCCGTTATTAATTGACAACTCTTTAAGAGCAACCTTGGAAGCCAGGTGACAGTGGAAATGATCTGTTCAGTGTGTTGAAAGAGGACAAATGCTAACCTGTAATCCTGTTCCCAGAAAAATTATCCTTTAAGAATGGGGCAAAATAAAGTCATTTATTAGATTAATTAAATTAAGATAGTTTTCTTCCAATAGACCATCATTAATGGAAATTCTAAACAAGGACTTTGAAAAGAAGGAAAGTTATTCCAGATGGAAGGAAGAGTGAATGGAGAGAAAATAATGTGATAAATTTGTGGATAAATATAAATGATTGTTAACTGTGTCAAATAATAACATTATCTTTTGGGATTTAAAAAAAGAACATTAGCATATGCAAAAATAATAATGTAAGTTGGGAAGAGGGTAAAGTACTCTAAGAGCCAAGAGTTAATTGTACCAGAAGAGGGTATTAACTTCTGACTTTGATATGGTTGGGATAGATGTTATAGTTTCTATGGCTTTTCTATTCAAATTAGTAGCCAAGTGTGGCCATTTAAATTTAAATTTAATTAAAAATTTCATTCCTGAATTGCACTAGACACATTTCAGTTGCTCAATAGTCACATGTGGCTAGTGAATATTTTATTGGGCAATACAGATTTGGAATATTTTCATTATTACAGAATGTGTTATTGGATAATGCTCTTTTAGAGTAGCCAGAATAGAGTAGAGGAATAGAAAACGTAATGAGTAACTTCTAGATTCGTAGAAGGGGGAAAAATTAATCAATCTACAAAGAAGGAAGAAAGGAGAGGTAAAGGAATGTTGAACTGGTGGGACAGAGAGAATGTTGGATTTAATAAATTCAAATATATGTATAATTATAGTAAGTATAAATAGGACTAAATGCTCCAGTTAAAAGACATTGATTCTGAGGCTGGATTAAAAAATATATATATTTGTTGTTTACAAGAGACATATACAAAACAGTATGAAGTTAAACAGAAACATTACAAGTAAAAAGAGGGAGAAAAGAAATCCAATACAATTGCTAATCAAAAGAATGCTGGTGTATCTACAGTAATGTCAAAATGAATAGACTTTTAAGTCAAAAAGCATTTTAGTAATGCTTGAATGATCGAATGTTTAATTTGCCAGCAAGATATAATCATTTTAAATTTGTATGTGCCTGGAGACACCTGGAAGGTAAATACCCTGATTGATATGCATTTCTTGGACCCATGGGAACTGCCAAAAGAATAAAGGTCAGTTTTTGACAATGAAAAACAAAATTTATGTGCATCTAATAACATAACCTCAAAGCCATAAAGCAAAGCTTAACAGAATTATAAGAAGAAATAGATTGCCCTACTGGAAGATTTTAATATACCTTTCTCTGTCATTGATAGAAGCAGAAAGAAGAAAAAAAAGAAAATCTAATGAACATCCATTCTTTTAAAAAATTTTAATAAACTTCTTATTTTTGAATAATTTCAGGTTTACAGGAAAGTTACAAAGATGTTACAGAGAATTCCCGTATACTCTTCACTCAGTTTCCCCTAATCTTACCTGACCATGGTTCCTGTGTCAAAACTTAGAAATTTAATATTGGTGCATTACTTTTCACTATATTATAATCTTCATTTGTGTTTCACCAATTTTTCCACTAATTTTTTTTGTTGTTGTTCCAGAATCCAATCCAGAGTATTACATTGCATTTAATCATATCTTCCTAGTATCCTCTTGTCCATGATATTTTCTCGGTGATTCCTTGTTTTTTATGAACCTGATTCTCTTTATACATTCATGAAATTTGTAAAAATTGACCTAATACTGGCCATAAAGCAAGTTTCAACGAATTTCTAAGGATTTAAAACATACAGAGTATAGAATATTCTCTGACCACAATGCAATTAAGCTGGAAATCAATAGAAACTCAATAGAGACTGTTTGGGCCAAAAAAGCACAATGAAATTTAGAGTGTATTTTAAACTGCACAATTACTAAATCCATATCAAAACTTGTGAGATTTAGCTAAAACAACTTTTAGAGGGATTTTTAAAGCCCTAAAATCATGTGTTAAGGAATAAAAAAGACTGAAAATTAATGAGCTATATATCTGTCTTAAGAGCAGGAAAGTATTAAAATAGAAAGTAAACATAGGGGCTGGCCCTATGGCCAAGTGCTTAAGTTCATGTGCTCTGCTTTGGTGGGCTGGGGTTTGCCAGTTTAGATCCTCGGCATGGACCTACACACTGCTCATCAAGCCATGGTGAGGCGGTGTCCCACCTAGAAGAACTAGAAGTACCTACAACTAGGATATACAACTATGTACTGTGGCTTTGGGGAGAATAAAAAGAAAAGGGGAAGATTGGCAACAGATGTTAGCTCAGGGCCAACCTTCCTCACAAAAAAAAAGCCTGAAAGTAAACATATAACAAAGATTAACAAAGCTAAAATTCTTCGAAAAGGATTCTAAAATAACAAACAGAAAATGAAATTTTAAAAGTATGTTATTTTCATGGTACAAGTTCCTAAGAATAAATCTGGCAAAAAGATGTGCAAGACCTCTTATGAAGCTAATTTTAAATTTGAGAGAAATTAGAGACCCATGTAAATGTAGGTCTCTATTCTGTTCTTAGATTTTAGGTTTCAAGGCTGAATCTATAAAGATGTCAGTTTTCTCTAAAATAAATTATAGTTTCAGGACAACCCCCCAAAAAATCCCAGCAGATTTGTGGGGAGTAGTTGTGGAATGTGACAAGTTGATTCTACAATATATACACAAAGGGCCGGGAATAGACGCCAGGATATTCTTGAAGCAGAACAAGTAGGGAGGACTTGCTCTTCCAGATATGAAGTATTTTAAATATTGTAATTAAGAATTAGACCAATGACAGAGAATTGAGGCCAAAAAAGACCATGCATTTGTAGATAGAAATAGGGCACTGTAGAGCAATTGGGGAAAGGCAGTCCTTTCAAAAGAAAGTGCTAAGACAATTAGATAGCCATTAGATATCTAATTAGATAGCCAGCTAGATAGCCAATTCAAATTTCTAATTAGATAGCCAATTAGAAAAAAATGAAATTGTTTCCCCCAACTCACACCATGAAATTCTATTCCATATGCATTGATGTTTAACTGTAAAAGATAAAACTGCAAAAATTCAGGAATATATTTCTAACCTTAATGATAGGAAAGGATTTCTAAAACCAGACACAGATGCATTAACCATGAAGAACATTGGTAAACATGACTACATTAAAATTGAAAACTTGTTAGGGCTGGCACGGTGGCATAGGTGTTAAGTTTGTGCAGTCCACTTTGGTGGTACAGGGTTTATAGCTTCAGATCCCAGGCATGGATCTATACCACTCATCAAGCCATTCTGTGGCGGCATCCCACATACAAAATAGAGGAAGATTTGCACAGATGTTAGCTCAGGGACAATCTTTCTCACACACACACACAAAAGATGAATGAATAATTATATTATGGTGTAGTCATACGATGGAAGACTATAGTACGATGAAAAAGAACAAAGAGTAGCTGTGTACCACTACATACAGCTACCTAGCATATTATATATTTGTTTATTTGGTTTATTGTTTGTCTTTACTCTAGAATATAAACTTATGAAAGCATAGACCATCAGTTTTGTTCACTGATGAGTCTGCAGTTTCTCTAACAGCACCTGGTACATAATCGGCCATAAAAGGAACCTAAATGAAATATTAATGTAGAGATTCTGCCTGTGAGATCTTTGTACTTTTCATTGCTAGTCTATAGAAGTACAATTGATCTTTGTATATTGATCTTCTGTTTATTATTCTAGTTATATATTTGTGGACTCCTTAGGATTGAAAATTCAGATTCTTTGGAAAGATTTAATGAAGCTGAGTCACTAAAGAAAATTGCTGTAAACAGTAAAGGTGTTAAGAAAAATAATGAAAATCTAAAAGGATTGATGCCCTCAAATTGTTTCTTAAGGGTCTAAATTTTCATTTTAAATAAATCAAAACCAGAAGTCATACTCTTTTGTTTGGTTTACATAGAATCATAGCCAAAAGGTCTGCTTTCAAAAAAAAGTCCTTTTTTAAAAGGCTTTGCATCAAAAGATTGACAAATGAATACATTCATGTGTTTTAAGTTAACAGGAAATGTTTGATATGTATATAATATTTTCCATAATTCTCTGCTTTGACTTTTTCAATTATTAGGTCTTTTTAACCACTGTGAGTCCCACTTGCATGGTTAGGAGGTTTTTACTATCCTAGAATTTTGCAGGAACAAAAAAAATAAATTATAGCCTAGAGCACTTGTTCTCAAACTTTGCTATGAATCAGGGGAATGAAAACTTAGACAAATTGAGAAGCAACTTGAGCCTGGAATTCTTTTAGATATTTTTCACCAGCTCCCCAGTTTGAGAACCACTGTCCAGAGTATTACTTGTGCACATATATGTCAAGACTTGTGGTATTCAAAAAGTAAGTATTCAAGAAGATTATTTGGATATGGAAAGAAAACATTGGCCCTCTTATTTTTATATCATTGTATTAATTTGTATTTGTTTTATTATGTGTATATTATATTAATACAGTAGTATATGTAAGTAATTTATAAATATATTTTAGGGATGAGAGGGCAATCAAGTTCTTTAGACAGCAGAAACCTATTTTTTCTTCAATAGTCAAAGTATAATGGAGGGAGAGTAGAGATGCCAAATTCTATTTTCATATAGCTTAAAACTTCGAATTTACTTTTCTACTGCCTCCTAAGACAAAGATGAAATAAGAGTCTTGAGGCAAATACTGTCCCTGATTAATATATATTAACTTTTCTTCAGGAAAATAACATTAGTTATATCTGCTCATATCTCCACCATACTTTGCTAGGAACTAAATAATAAACAAAATGGAAAAACTTTGTTAATCCCATAAATCAATATCTTCATATTTGCCTTGTTTTAAATGTAAAACATTTGTTTTTTAGGGGGAAAAAACCTGAGATTTTTCTTATTTTTCCTCCTGAAATAGTTTACTTTTTATTCACTTAAATGTATCTTTACAACCTTAAGAAATAAAATTGCATGTAATAATCCCATTTCATTGTTTTTGCATAATTGAAATATAGCTAAGCAATATTTTTCATAATATGTTATAGTGAGCTGTAAACAAAATTGAAAACTGTTGGGGTGCTGATTTTAGTGCTGATTTTCTTTTTTATAAGTAATACTTTTCTATTTAGTATTGTATTAAAATAAAACCCTAAAGAGTGATATGGGTTTCTTTGTTATTGTTTTTAATCTTATCATGATTAGTGAGACAGTCATTTGTTTTCTAGATTGATGACATTGTAAAAGCTGTTGGTAACTGCAGCTACAACCAACTAGTGGAGAAGATCATCTCTTGTAAGCAGTCAGACAATAGTGAGCTGGTTAGTGAAGGTGGGTGAATGCTGCTATTACCTGACTTATTCTTGGCAAAATAACTTGTCTTATAATTTAATATATTTTAAATGTCTTAAATAAGACTTCTAAAAAGTGCAAGTGATGCTACTTGTAGGAATTAAAAGTCACTATTCATAAAGGTGCCAGAAAGGTTTTTCCTAGAACCCTTTTCACTTGAGTTGTAAAATCAGGCCTAAATTCTAATAAAAGTCTTTGGAATCACTTGCTAGCTTTAATATGGTTATTAAAGGGGTTACTGATAATTACTCTTTTAAAAAAGTGTTATTTAGGGGGAGTACTGGGTGAACTTTATAATTCGTCCTGAACGCTTCAGTTGACTGAGATGAGTATTATGGTGCTCAAGTGTTCATCTTAGTAGAGCTCTGCCGTATGTTTCAGTACAATGTAGTATATGAAATCCCCTTCTGGGTCAGAGTATACCTCTGATCATCAGTTTTCCTAGTCCTTAGCTAATTAAAATTGCAAAATTCATCATTATAGAAGAAGTTTCATATATTTTCAGCTGTGCTCTAGTCAATAAAGGAAAGAGCTGATTTAAAACTAGAATGCTATCTGGAGCCATAGCATTTGGATATAGCTTTCCCACCACCCACTTCACTTTTTCATAAATATGCACAAATACTGAGGCTACTGTTCTCTGTTTGAGGGAAAAACAAGAGAAAGAGAAATCATGAGAAGCAGGGGATAAGCTTTATCATTCTCTCTCAGACACACAATTCTTTTACATGATATATAATAAAAGTTGATTACAATCACCATATTTTTAAAAATTAAAGGTACAAAAGTATATAAGGACATTTAAAAGACGATGTGTACATGAATCTCTTACTATCTTGATTAATCAGAACCCAACTAATTATATTACTCAATTATCTATCTAGAAGTGTAACATGTTTAAGCAAGAGGCAAGTAGCAAGAAAATACAATGTTTTAGCTGAGGCTTATCCTAGTCTTCTACCTGCAATAAGCACATAAATATATAGGGATATTAATCATTGATTTGTATGATAACTCTTTTACTACAACCTCAGGCAGCAAAGTTTAAATTTTAGGGAGGAGAGGACAAAGCTGTTAAAAAATATTTTCTCTCAATTAACAAAATTCCACTCACTAGAACTTTCCATTCCTTATCCAAGCTCTCATTACTATAAATACATTCCTAAAAGCAGACTGTAAAGAAAATTTCCATCTGTGGATTCCTACTTTTTCAGTAATTTCCAATATACCATTCAATAGTAATTGAGGGAACAATAGGATTCAATTAGTGCTAACAGATGGAATGATAGCCAGGATATGATATTTGGGTAAATAGATTTATAGGATAAGAAGCTATAGGAAACACTGTTAACAGCATTTTTCCCAAGCCAGGATGCAATGTAACAAGGATAGGACTTAGGTAGTACACTAATTAACAAAATGAACATGAGGCCAGCCCGGTGGCACAGCAGTTAAGTTTGCATGTTCCGCTTAGGCAGCCCAGGGTTCACCCGTTTGGATCCCGAGTGCGCATATGGCACTGCTTGGCACACCATGCTGTGGTAGGCGTCCCACATATAAAGTAGAGGAAGATGGGCATGGATGTTAGCTCAGGGACAGTCTTCCTCAGCACAAAGAGGAGGATTTGCAGCAGTTAGCTCAGGGCTAATCTTCCTCAAAAAAAAAAAAAAAAAAAAAAGAACAACAACAAGAAACCAGTCCCTTCATCACTTCTCCTTTTTCTCAACCTGATGTTACAACTATAATTATTTCTCTGATGTTGATTCCCCAGCATAACAAAAAGCTATAGCTGATTTGTATAGTATTGAGTACTTGATAAGAACATCTTGGTAGAAGCAAGGAAGAAATTATATTAGTGGTATAGAATTTTCAGGTAATATATATTAGAATTGATTAATTCCTTGATACATAAATTTTGTAATGGTGAAATTCTGCATATCAGATTCCATATCAAGGAATAATTATATATGGAATTCAATACAATTAAAAAGCTAAACTAGGAGCTGGCCTAGTGGCATAGTGGTTAAGTTTGTGTACTCTGCTTTGGCGGCCTGCGGCTGGAAGGTTTGGATCCCCAGCACAGACCTACACACCAATCATCAAGCCATGCTGTGCCGGCATCCCACATACAAAAGAGGAAGATTGGCCCAAATGTTAGCTCAGGGCCAATCTTCCTCACCAAAAACAAACAAAAAAAAGCTAAACTAGTTTTTTATTTATAAGAAACTACAAATATGCAGTGTTGGAAATAATTATTCAACCCCAATGGTTACTTCTATAAGGCACTAAGAAATCATATAGGAAAGAAAAGGCCACAATAGACATTTTTACTTATAACGTAGCAATTAGCTTTCTTCCATCATTTTCTTCATATTTTCTTAGGAATAGTGCTCAACTAAAGTAGTCTCCTTTCTTTTTTCTATTTATCCTACAACTGTAACTTTCCTTCTGAATCAATAAAATATCCAAACGGTAGTTTATTTCTAATCTTTATTTATTAAAAAGTATTAAGCTTTGGTCTTAGATAACTACTTATTTTTTAAAAATTAAAAAAGTTGCAGAATACAAGAAATACTTTCACTATCATTCTTTTTTGATGAAAAAGAAATGTTATTTAGCTAACAGTCAAATAGAGATTCTTTCAACTTCATTCAGATAACGTTCATTTTCTTTTGATGGCAATAACTGTAAGTAAAAGTACAGAACTTTTATGTTTACATAGAGTACTATTATTTGCTACCTCTTTTGGGTGTTAATGCCTTTTGAATCTAGTTATAATGATGGGTTGTAGCATGGCAGCAAAAACCAATAAGGAAAAAAATAGCACAGTACCAGCTGCCAAATTTCAATAGATCTAGTCATTTAAATCCAGATGCTCTCTCAGGAATAATTTCTTCTCTAACAATTGTTTCTATGTAAAAAACATGCTTAAAGAAATAATTGTAGAATACTCATTTATTCAAATATTTATTGAGCCTTTATTATGTGCCATAAACACTGAAGATTATAGTTTGAATCCACATTGTTTTTGACAAAGTAATATTGATTTCCTTTTTTTCTTTCATTTTTATTTTCAGAAATCTCAAAAAGTTGGAATAGCACAATGAATATATCTATATATGCACTTCACCTAAATTCACCAATTAACATATTGAATTTTTGCTTTCTTTCTATGTTCATACACTGTTTTTCCTAAATCATGTAAGAATTAGTTGCAAATATCATAGCCCTTTACCCATTAATGCTTCAACATTTGTCTCCTAAGAACAAAGAATCCTCCTATATAATCACGGTATAATTATCTCAGGAAATTCAGCATTGATACAATACTATTACCTAATATACTGTTCATATTCAAAATTCTCCAGTTGTCCCAATACTGCCCCTTATAGCTTTTAAGTTTTTTTCAATCTAGGCTCTAGTCAAGGATCATTTAATTGTCATATCAATTTAGTCTCCTGTAATCTAGAACAGATCCCTAATCTTTTTCCTTTCTTTTTTCCTTTTTGGTCTTCTGTGATACTGACTTTTCTTAATAGTTGTTTTGTGTAATAGTCCTCAATTTGGATTCATCTGATTATTTCCTCTTGAGTAGATTTAGGTTATATATTTTTGGTGGGAATACTACATAGGTGACATCATGTCTTTCCCAGTGCATCAAGTCAGACGTGATGTCTGATTATCCCATTATTGGTGATGTTCAAATATGATTATGGTGGTATCTGCCAGATTTTTTTTTTTTAGGAAGATTAGCCCCGAGCTAACATTGCCTGCCAGTCCTCCTCTTTTTTGCTGAGGAAGACTGGCCCTGAGCTAACATCCGTAGCCATCTTCCTCTACTTTATATGTGGGATGCCTACCACAGCAAGGCTTGACAAGTGGTACGTAAGTCCACACCTGGGATCTGAACTGGTGAAGCCCAGGCCACTGAAGCAGCAGAACGTGTGAACTTAACTGCTGCGCCACTGGGCCAGCCCCCTGCCAGATTTTTTTGTTGTAAAGATACTCTTTCCCCTTTGTAATTTATAAGTAATCTCTGATGTTATGCTTTGAAACTGTGTAAATACCATTTCCTAATAATTTTTACCCAATAGAGTTGGCATTCGTTCTTACCTGAATCAACTATTACTATGGTGGTTATGATATTTTCATTTATTCCTACATTAATTAGTTGGCATTCTTCTATAAAAAATAGTTGTCCCTTCTCCTCCTCCTCCTCCATTAAAAAAATATTTTTATCAATGTAGACTCATAGGTTCTTTTTTATTCAGTGTGTTATTATCCATTATTATCATTATTCTTTTTGATGCATAGAATTGTCTCAAATATGGCCAGTGGGATGCTCTCAAGCTGGATCCCATGTTCTTTTGACATGTACTCATCATTTCTTAAGCACTTCCTTATTTCCTAGCACAGTAAGAGGTTCTGGGCTCCCTACTGCATCCCTGGAATCAAATCGCATGAGCCCCTAAGTTTCAAAGAAAACCTGGGCATTTGTCACATTAGTGGACATTGTTTTGCCCCATCTTCTTGAGGAAAAATATAATGTATTTGAGTTTTGAAACTTGACAGTAGATGAAATAAAAAAGAAAATCTGATCATTTATGTAAAGCTAACACATGACAAAGTCAAGTTCTGACTGAGTTTAAATTTCAACACCCATCTCAGGCAGGGCCACATCCAGCCAACATTGTAAAATAAGCCAAGGTTCCTCTTCTCCTATTCCCTCTCTTTTTCCTTTTTTGCCTAATTTTATTGACATTCTTTCTTCCTTCACCTCCTTTAAGGCACTCAGTACTTTCATGTTCTCTAATAACTTTTCAGTAATAGAAAAAAATAATTTGATAACTTAATTCAGTATTGAATTTCTGAAATGAAGAAATATTTTTAAATACATTAATGTCAGGAAAATAGTTTTTAAATTTATTTTCAGTAATGTTATTTTATTACCATTATGTTAATTTTTACCTTTAGTATCATTAATAACAATATAACAATAAAATTGAAATTTAATCTAAACGTTGCAAATAAACTATTTCTCATTTGAAGCAATGCAGATAAGTAAACTGCTCTGTAACACTTAGAATCATTTACCAAAATTTGTTTAATTAGTTATGAAAAGTTGAAACTAGATTAGGCATTTGAACATTCCACTAAAATCACAGGAGTGTCACTGTTTAAGAGTTGGTAGAAGAATTAGGAAACATTGTTCTAAGACTAAATTAGACTATGCTGTGTGTTTTGGGGAGAAATACAATTCAGTTTGCGCTTATAATAATCAGCATTAAATTTTTTAACTTAATACCAACAATTGCCCTGGGTTCCAGTCTTCTCTTTTTCATAACTAGTTTTATGTCCTTGAGCAAGTCACTTATTCTCTCTGAGCCTGTGTCCTGTTCTATAGAAAGAAATACCTGAGGGAGACCTTTCTAGTGTTGAAGTTTTGAATTGCACACACATGAAAGTAATATTGTGCTGTATCTCCACTGACTTTGTATCTTTTTGAAAGGGATTTGTAGAAAGGATGTTGTGTCAGTGAGGTGTGAGAGGGGCATTTAGAAACGTCTTTCTGAAGGAAGTGTTTAATAACATGGATATTATAGACAGCAGTAGTAATTCTCCGCACAGGCATAATGCTTACTCTTTAAATGCTATATAATAGTGCTTTAGTATATAACATACATTCTGCTCAGTAACTTGGTACTTAGCAAAGTAATGATGATAATCGAGGTGGGGAGCTCTTATTTCTAAATGTATAAACCCAAGAAGTTGCAAATGTGCTATAAATTTACTTTGGCTGTGGCCTTGTGTATAACTTTTCCACTTCCCCTCCTACCTTACCCAGTTCCTTGGAATAGTGTGATATATTAGTAACTTTTTACAACCACTTTGCAGCTTGAAGTGCTGTGGGAGGGATGGAGAGGGAGTAGAAAAAACCGCTACTATCCAGCTGCCTGTGGCTCTACCAAGTTTATTTTCAATTTCTTGTTGAGGTGTCAGCTTCTTAACACAGGTTCATCTTTACTCCTGATATCTGTACCTCTCTGCTCACTTATAAAGCTTTTTAGAGCATTCTCTTCCCCTTTATTGCTTCTGAGACATTTCTTCCTTTTTAAAGGAAGGGAGCAAATGGAGGAAGGAAAAGAAAGAAGGGAAGAAGAGAAAGATAGGCTTTTAAGATATTTATGCAGTTGATTCTCATTATTGCTGGTAGTTATGTTCTATAAAGTTGCTGTGAAGACTGAACCACTGCTCCTAGGGGAAACACAAGATTGGGTTCCTGTGAGTCTCTGGTCACAAGATTTTCATCCACTGATGAGTATATAACCATGTTTTATCTGTGTTTCTGTTTAAAGACACCTTATTTAATATATATTGTTGATTTTTTAACATTAACCTCATGACCAAGAGCACTATAACTCTTGCTTGAATGAAGCTGCAAAAATGTGTATTTTCTCCATAAGGCATATCACAGCCTTTGTGCACTTAGGAACACTAGCCAGCACTTCAGCATTGTGCTTGGGGGCCATTTCACACGGTAAAAATCACCCCCAAAAAAGCACAAAAATGTGGAAAATGTAGCACTAAATACACCATGAAAAGGACACTTGTTTACAGTATGAGAGCTGAAACAAGAAGGCAGAGCATTGCCTTGTTTGACCTCAGTGGGGAATGTGCACGTTGGGTGACTCAAATTTTTTGCCACTTTGCTCACATCCAGGAATGACCCTGAAAGCACAGCAACTATTGATTTTGGAGTTATAAATAAATTTTAGATAGTAGGAAAATTTGCGAATATGAACGCATGTGAATAATGAGGATCAACTACATAGATCTTTTAAAGTAAACTCCAGAAAACATCTTTATATTTCATTATGTTTTGAAAACAAAAGAGATCATTTCTATTTCTGAACTTGATAGGTCTACATAATGAGTGGTATATGTTGGAAGAGAATTGGATAAAAATGGCATCAGTTATCTCACTATTTTCTGTTCAGTCTCATTTCTACTTTAATTTCAAGGCAAGAATTGAGCAGTTTATAAATTGAGAGTTATCTAGGATCTTTGTTAAAATCTTAAGCAACTCAATTTGTTAAGGCTACTTTTAATTTCTAAACACCCATCCATTGGGGAAGTAGCTGTTGATAGACATTTTTTGCTCCTACCCACTTTTTAAATTGCTAACTCTTGCTGTCTTGTTTTAGTGGGTTTTAACTTTGTTGTGTCCCCCTTATTGCAAGCTGTCTGAAATCCTTTTTGGAAGTAGCTCAAGTCTAAGTAAGTACATTTACTGATAAAAAGAATTTCATATAACTGTTTCTTTAGGATGGAAATGTCTATAGACACATTCTGTAGCAGAATTAGAAAGAAGAATCTCCAGTTTGGGGCCATCATGTTACAGTAGGAAAAATCTTATTTTGATTGGCTTTTCTTCCTACTTGGAACACAATGTAAATAGAAAACTTTTTAATTTTTAAATTATTCTTCCATCTAATATTATGCGTTGGTTCCATAGGCTTTGTAGCTGAGCAGTTTCTAAATAATACAGCCACTCAACTGACATACCATGGATTATGTGAACTAACTTCAACGGTTCAGGAAGGAGAACTTTGTGTGTTCTTTCGGAATAATCATTTTAGCACCATGACCAAATACAAGGTATGATATAGAAACAGCTATTTAATTGTTACTCTAAATCAAAGAGCTTGATTTAAAGATGTCTTATGATATGCTTCAAAATAAAAAATTTTAGCACAATATTCCTTAACCATCAAATTATGAAGATAATTATTAAATACTTCTTTAGGATGAAATGGATTGGCAATTTAAGTGTTACTTCAAATCAGTTTTTTGTTTTTATTTAAATCTCAACTCATTTCTCACAGATTACTGCATTAAAAAAATATTTATAATTTTCTTTCGAAGGAAAAAAAAGGGAAGCCCTAAAGATAGAACCAGGGTGACTGCTAATAATGGAAGTTTATATTTGATGGCTAACAGAGTTTAGAAGAATCAAGATTTGTCTTTATGATAGTGTTTGCTGTTATAGTTACCAGTCTGACTTTAAATTCTTATCATGCCATTTATGGCTCTGCCAAAAAATCTTACTAATTCATCCCTTTTGTTACCTGTTCACATATCCCTTCTGTTTTTACAGCTGCCACCTTTTCAGAAGTGTATCACCTTATCCCTAGATTTCTGTGGTAAAATACTGCTCTGGTTATGTCAATAATGTAGTAAAAATGTTCAGTGGCACCCAATGCCCAGAGGATAAAAATGCAAGATATTTTCTCCTGTTTCCCTATTCCAACACTGCTTTAGCCATAATGTTCTATCCACTTATTAATAATCCATCATCCCCATACACATTTTATTGCTTTCTCCTTTCTAGACCTTTACTGCCATTTCTTACTCCTTAATCCCTGTTTGGAAAGATCTCTCTCCTTTTTGCCTATTTAAATTTCACCACTCCTTTAAGAAGCATTTCAAATACTGACTCTTCAGTAAAGCTACTCCTTCTCTCCTTAAACTAGTAGTTCTAAACCAAGATTGTATATTAGAACTACCTGGCGAGCTTTTAAAAAAATATCAATGCCCAGAGCTCACCACCAACTCAATTAAATCAGAATTTCTGGAGGTGGGATCTGAAAGTCAGTATTTTTTTTTTTAAGATTTTTTATTTTTCCTTTTTCTCCCCAAAGCCCCTAGGTATATAGTTGTATATTTTAGTTGTGGGTCCTCCTAGTTGTGGCATGTGGGACGACACCTCAACATGGCCTGTATGAGCAGTGCCATGTCCGCGCCCAGGATCCAAACTGGTGAAACCCTGGGCGGCTGAAGCAGAGCACGTGAACTCAGCCACTCGGCCATGGGGCTGACCCCTGAACGTCAGTATTTTTTAAATGCTCTTCAGGTGATTTTAATATGCAGCTAAGCCTGGGGATCGCTACTCTACCTGTCCTCTTCCAGCTCTTATGGGTCATATCCTCCTTACTTCACCCTTATTGATGAGTACCTTGTTACCAGTTTTCTTTCCATGTAAATATCTTATTTTTCTAAAGGAAAGTAAGCTTATAGAAATCAGGAATCAGGTCTTCATGTTTCCTTCAACACTTTAATCAGTGAATTGCACAAAGTAGTTAAAATAGCGATTTGTTGGGGCTGGCCCCGTGGCCGAGTGGTTAAGTTCGCGCGCTCCGCTGCAGGCGGCCCAGTGTTTCGTTGGTTCGAATCCTCGGTGCGGACATGGCACTGCTCATCAAACCACGCTGAGGCAGCGTCCCACATGCCACAACTAGAAGGACCCACCACGAAGAATATACAACTATGTACTGGGGGGGCTTTGGGGAGAAAAAGGAAAAAACAAATTTAAAAAATCTTTAAAAAAAAAATGATTTGTTTGCTTCTACAAGAATACTTTAAAGCTCTAGCTCTCCTATGCCCGTATTAGTTATGGCAAGGGTTCGTTTGTATTGCTCCCACATTTGAGCTAGATGTGTGCTAGTATGGGCCCAGAGTCATTCATACACCTCAGAAATCTAAGGCCAAAGAACCTCAGAATCAGAACTATTGCTACATAGTAAATACTGCTAAGTTGTGTTGGTTTACCTGATCTCTTCAAGTGCACACTTCATTCATTAGTTTAATAAATATCTATTGAGCACGATGTATGTCTAGGTGCTTGGCTAAGTACTAGCACTGCAGACTGAGCAAGGCAGCTACAGCTCCTGCCATTTAAGGACTTCCTAGTTTGGCAAGGGACATATGTTAAATAATTGCACAAACAGTTATTATTTCTATTGAGATACAGTCTGTAAAGGGTACATACGATATGCTGTGAGTGCTTCTATCAGGACTTATAACCTAGTTGAGGATGTCAGGAAACACTTCCTTTATTTTATTTTTTTTTTGAGGAAGATTAGCCCTGAGCTAACTACTGCCAATCTTCCTCTTTTTGCTGAGGAAGGCTGGCCCTGAGCTAACATCCATGCCCATCTTCCTCTATTTTATACGTGGGAAGCCTACCACAGCATGGCTTTTTGCCAAGCGGTACCATGTCCGCACCTGAGATCTGAACCAGCAAACCCCGGGCCACCGAGAAGCGAAATGTCCGCACTTAACCGCTGCGCCACCAGGCCAGCCCCAAGACTTCCTATAGAAGGCAACATTTAAATTGAGACCTGAAAAATGAATCTTCTAGGAGTTTAATCAGTTAACAAAAAAAGAGTTAACTAAGCAGATGGAACGTGTGCAAAGGCTCTGAGGAGGGGACAAACTTAACTCCTTAAGGAATTAAAAGAAGGCCTGTGTGGCTGAAGCATAAAAAATAAGAGACAGGAAGTAAGGCTGATGAAATAGGCAGATCCCAGATCTTGTAGAGTTTTGAGTTAAGAGGAGAAACAGACCTTGGTGTCCTGATGGCCTAGTGGTTCTTTTTTTCTCTTTTTTTGGCTCAGCAGGAGTGAGATAGTTCACAGGGAAAACAGGTCTCTGGCTGTCATTGGTTGTTGTTAGACAACCTACCCAAACTGAGCTCTAGATGTTCCCTTTTCTATCAAGGCCATATCCCCGACCAGGATGTTCTTGACTAGTCAACTTGGTATTCCCAGTGTTCCTGTGTGGTTGGGGAGACGGTGGCTGTCTTGGAGCGCTTTCTGTCATGTGTCTGTTTCTGGACTAAGTATGTCCTTCTGTGAGATAATGATAGTTCAGAGAATGTGTGCATCCTGCTGTTTCTCTGCCTTCTAAATTTTTCTCAGTAAACCTTATTCTATGGCTAAAGAGTGTTATCATTAGTTGTGTGTGTCTCGCAGCCCCTTGTACCATATTAAGATGCTTTGGACTATGAGGCAAAAGTCGATGTGGATTTAATTAGGAGACTATTGTGGGGAGGTCAGTAAGAGGTTATAGTGACTTGGACTAGGATGGTAAAGAAATGGAGAGTAGACAGATTCCACAGACATTTAGGAGATATAATCAACCAGATTTGGTGATTAAGATGTGAAAAATAAGCTAAAAATAACCCACTTTTAATGCTACATTAGATCTTCCTAATGCCTTCTAACATCTCACTTTTGAAGACCCATGAGATTTTAGGGCCATTTTATGCGTTCACATTTAATGATCACTGTATTTTCCATCTTCCTACCCTGTGAACTCTTTGGAACACCTATTGTTTGTTTGTTTTTTTTTTTTTTTAAGATTTTATCTTTTTTCCTTTTTCTCCCCAAAGCCCCCCGGTACATAGTTGTGTATTCTTCATTGTGGGTTCCTCTAGTTGTGGCATGTGGGACGCTGCCTCAGCGTGGTCTGACGAGCAGTGCCATGTCCGTGCCCAGGATTCGAACCGACGAAACACTGGGCCGCCTGCAGCAGAGCGCGCGAACTTAACCACTCGGCCACGGGGCCAGCCCCATTGGAACACCTATTGTGTAGATATATTTCATCCCACAGAAATCCAGATTTATTCCAACAAAAAATAAATTTAACATCTGGATGGAATACGTCCTAAGAGAGATAAATGGTCTCCACAACTAGGGGCCTATGATAATAATAAATTGGCAATCAGTCATAAATATGTGTAACTATGTTATTTTATTAGTGGGGCTTATTTTTATTATGATTTGCAGAAAGGATCTTTATGCTTTCTGGTACCCATATCATATCATATACCATTCCAGGACCAAGACCAACAAGACAGAAGTCCATGTTGGCAGGACAAAAAAGGATTGCCTAGAAAAGGTTATCTTCAATTTCTTTACTGGTTGTACCAATTTCCTTAGGAATTTGCTAAACTCTTAACTTGTGCATAAAAATTTTTTGTCATCTAAATTCTTTTGGAACTTTAGAGATGTATGAGCTATTGACTTATATTTGACCAAAGGGGAGGTATATGTCTGTTATAACTTTCTCCAGTACTATATGTCTGTTCTAATTCCTGTCTCTAGACATTGGATAGAGTCAGGGGCAAATTCTCTCTTAGGTTAGACTTTTTGGTGACTCTTTATACACCAAAGCACTGAAGATTATAGATACTTCTAAAACTTGTACCTGGACAAAGTATTCTCTGTTTACTAACTTTATAATTCCATCTTCATAGACTTTTTTATTAGGCCTTCTGCCATCACAGAGTCACAGTGGACATGTTAATCAAATTGACTTTTTTTTTTTCCTGTATAATATCTACCAGTCAACCTCATACTTCCCCACTGTCTAACATAGTATGCTCTATGGTTTTGATTACACAGCCTCTAATGACATTGTCTCTGACCACGGACACTAACTGACTTCCTGTTGTTGAAAAGTCATCTTATCATTCCTAGTTTTGTGGGTTTTCATACCTAAACTCTGGACAAGTACCTCTGCTGTTTCTTTCATTAGTATTAAAATAATCAAGTCCAGCTCTTGTTTGTTGCAATAGCATCTTACATCTTGGATTCTCTTATATATAATTCTCTATTCAAGACATAATTATTCCATTTTATTTTTATGAGCCTCCTCCACTTCTCCAATACTTTCTGCTTTCTCTTGGGTAAGATAAACTACTGTTTCCTTGGCCCCTGTCTAGATCACCTAGCTTCTGGGTCTTTGGTTTGTATAATGACATCTGCATTAGCTCTTTCCCCATCATTACTCCCTCTTGATCATCCCTGTCCCATATCAACCTTTATATCCATGTCATAACTCCCTCTTGGTTTTATTTTTTTATTTTATTTTTTTTAAGATTTTATTTTTCCTTTTTCTCCCCAAAGCCCCCCAGTACACAGTTGTATATTCTTAGCTGTGGGTCCTTCTAGTTGTGGCATGTGGGATGCTGCCTGAGCATGGCCTGATGAGCAGTGCCATGTCTGCAACCAGGATCCAAACTGGCGAAACCCTGGGCTGCTGAGGTGGAGCGCACAAGCTTAACCACTTGGCCACGGGGCCAGCCCCTCCCTCTTGGTTTTAAATTACTGACATCTCTCTGGAGTATAATCAAAACCAAGGTTTTTGAGTCTGGCTTTTGTTTGTTTGCTTTTTTACTTTATATTTAGGGATTAGAAGTAAAAAGTAGTATAGAAGGAGGTACAGTTCTAGATAAGTACTAAAGCCATGTTAAGAAAGAAATTTGTCCATTCTCTTTCCTCATTGACTAAGATTATAGTGGGAATTTTTTTTTTCACAGAAGGCTACGTTTAAGTAAAAATTCATGTAATTTAGTTATTTTAAAAGGTGGTTGATACATCAAAAATTGTCACTTTTAAAATTTTTTTAAAATGGGGGCAGTAGTGAGAGAAACAGAGTAAGAAAAGTGATAGATTCCTCAGTATAGGCAGAGAGAGTCATCTTTTTCTCAAATAGGAGGCAGGATAAGGAGATAGAGAAACTGAGATAGATTTTCATGAATATAATATCTTATATTCATTAAGCACTATATGCCTTGTATTGTGCTAAGCACTTTACATTCATTATCTCATTTAATTACCTCCACTTTACAGCTGAGAGAACAGGCTTAAAGGCCCTAAGTAACCTGCCCAACATCACTCAGCTTGTGAGCAGCTCCAGTCAGACTTTCAAGTCTACACTCTCAACATCTCTGCCTCTCTGGGTGGTTAAGAAAGCTATTTATGGGTGAGATTGATGTTTGTTAAGTAGGAATGACGTTCATCTTTCAATTTATAAGATATCTTTGAAATTCTCTGGTCTACCTGCCTCTATATCACTTTACAAGAAAAGAAAACTAAGGTCCAAAGATGTTAAGTAGTTTGAATCCAAGATAACCAAAAATATTCAGGTAGTGCTTTCCTCCATGTTTTAAAGGCTGGAATTACTTAATTATTTTTTTATTACATTTGACAACTTTTCTTCTAATTTATCAATTTACAAATTGTGATGATATTGTCATGTATTTTGTTAATACCAGTAACTCACTCTATATAGAACTGATTTACCAGAGTATTTTAGATGAAATAGGTTTTCATTCAGTCTTCTTTTGTAATCCAATTGCACATTTAAAAAAAATTTTCTATCTCATTTCTTTGTCATTTTTATATCATAAAAATAACATACATTTTATATATCAATAATTTAAGAACTTAATGTATACATTCGGCATTCGTGTTTTTTTTAATGAAATTAGTATTTTAGAGACTGATGAGTGAAATTAGGAGGAAGACTCAAGGCTTAGAAAAGAAAACTTTGACTAGGTAATGTAGCAAAAATGCTGTGGTATAAAAGCAAGAAATATTCTTTTTTTTTTTTAAAGATTTTATTTTTCCTTTTTCTTCCCAAAGCCCCCCAGTACATAGTTGTGTATTTTTAGTTGTGGATCCTTCTAGTTGTGGCATGTGGGATGCCACCTCAGCATGGCTTGATGAGCAGTGCCATGTCCGCACCCAGGATTTGAACCGGTGAAACCCTGGGCCGCCAAAGCAGAGCGCACGAACTCAACCACTTGGCCACGGGGCCGGCCCCACAAGAAATATTCTTGATGTGATTTAACTGTAGACTCTCAAGAACAAATGGGCCTAAACTGTTAAGTACTATACTAATACATACTTTGCTATTCCACACTGCAGTTATATAAAGGAACTGTTGAGTAATAACCAGCATTGTTGACAGTGGACCAGTTAACAGACTTTTTTGATAAATGTCAAGATCTAAAAGAAGGAGAAATTGAGGCTGATGGTCCATGAGAAGACAGATCAGCTATACCAAGAAAGAGACACCCTTTTAGTTAAAACTTATAAATATTCATATGCTATGGTTGATGCATATGGATGATTCATATGCTATGGATATGCTTTCATTAGAGACCCTCCCAGAATTTATCCATCCTGAAGTGTCGTTTGGAGGAAAATTATTGATCATTATGGTTCCTCCCCTAGTAAGCAGCCAATCTAATATATGATCTGTATAAAATAAATTGTAAAACCTAGATCTTGTATAATATAATGGTATGTTGAAACGTATTGTGATAAGTATAAGTAGAAGGGTCAGACCTATTTGGTGGAAAATTGGCTGGAAAGAACTTTTAGTTTTTCCCTTAAATTACCCTAGGGCAAGGTAGACCCTAACTGGGTATTAAAAACGTGTTAGGTAATGAGGACACGTGCGTAAATAAAAGATGACTCTGGTCCTCAAGGAGCTTTGAATGTAGTAAGAGAGATAAGTCAGTAAACAGACAACTACAATTCAACGTATAAAGTGCTATGATATTGGTAAGGCAGGATTCTATGGAATCACATGAAAGGAGCACCTAATCTCAGCAGAAATGGGATCATTGCTTTCCATGAAATGAATCCTCGAGCACTTAGCATAGTGCTGAGCTTATGGTAGGCATTCCAATATTTGATGAATTGGAACATATCTGATTTTTTTTTTAAAAAGCATGAACCTAGATTTAAGTTTTGCTTAAAACAATGTCTTTAAACTTTATACCAAAACGTTGCTATAGCAATTTTAATGACCATATAAATTAATCAGTATCTACAGCTAACTCTTAAATGTAACTGGTAGCAGACAGGAAAGACTTTGTACTTTCGGAAGAGCTGTGTCCCTCAGTGCTGGACACATAGTAAATGTTGAAAAATAATAATTACTTAGTTTTTTCAAGCTTCAGAATTTATTCAATAATTTCTCTACTCCCACCACCAAACTCTTCAAAGGAATTTCTTATACTTAACTACTAAGATTAATTGTGAATGATAAGAGAGAACATGAAAAGTATTCTTGTGCAATCATAAATACTATATTAATCAGTGGGAACTCTGAGCAAGTAAATGAAAGTCATATCCTCAGCAACTCTGAAGAAAAAATGGCTTACAAACCTATATGGTATAATATGGACACTTTACTTATGATTGGAGTTAGAACTAATGCATATGAAAAATTAGAGGTCAATGCTAAATTCTGTGGTAGTGACTATAAATACAACATGAGTTCATTGATTCAATAAACATTACGTTCCAACTTGATGATACACCCTACACTAGGCCCAGAGTTACAGAGATTAAAAAATATAGGCTAGGGAAAGAGGCAGGAAAACACAATCATGGTAAAGTGTGATTCAGTGCTACAATGGAAATAGATACAAAGTACTACTGGTGTATGAGGAAGAGCAGCTAATGGTTCAGAGAAAGGAAAAATTGGATTGGATTAGTCATATAGGCTTAATTTAAAAAAAGAAAACAGGTAATGTGATATCATTTTATTGTGACTGTGTCTTATTTGTTACTTGATATATTTTTTAGGAGCTTATTTAGTATTTTTCTATTTTGTGAAAGGAGATTATAAACCCACAAAGGCTATTTATAAAAGTCATGTATTAGTTAAGCATGCCAAGAGCTCCTAGTGTTATTATAATGTAGTATACCAATTATAAACCATATTCAGAGCCAGGTAGATTTAATCCAGTGAGAAAATAAGATAGCTACTTGAAAATAGAAAATAATAAATCTACATTTATTATGTTGTACAGGTCTAACTAGTGGGGGTTATTAATATGCTTTAAACATACAGATTATAAAATTTCTCTTAAATATTAACTAGTTTTGATCAATTTAAGAGTCTTCTTTCTTTGCTTATTTCTTATTAAGGGTCTACTGTATTTGTTGGTAACAGACCAGGGGTTTCTTACTGAAGAAAAAGTTGTTTGGGAAAGCCTACATAATGTCGATGGTGATGGAAATTTCTGTGACTCAGAATTTCATCTGCGGCCTCCTTCAGATCCTGAAACTGTATACAGAGGGCAACAAGATCAGATAGATCAGGTAAGTTTGTTTTGTCTTCTTCATATTGTTTAAGATGTTCATTCCTTTCAAATGTGAGTTCACGTATCCAAAACTTTTGAACTAAAGATTTATTCATTAACATACTTGAGAAATTTTCCTGACACTTCCTAAATAGGTAAATGATCACTCTACATGTACATTAATTATACACTTTGGTTCAGAAAGCCAGATCATATTTAATGTGAAGGTCATGGTAAAGAGTTTGAATTTTATTCTAATTATAGTGGGGAAGATGTGCCAAGTATTAAACATGGAAGTGACATGATCTACTTTACCTTTTTAAAAGGCTCCTAGTGAAGAATGCATAGGAAGAACACAGGTATAGGCAGGGATTAGCAGTCCAAGCAAAAGGTGATGATGGCTTAGCCTTGAATGGTAGAGATGAAGAGATGAGCACATATCAGAGATCTATTCTGGCTAGTCAGAAAAAGTAGAAAAGAGGGAATCTTGAAGATGCCATCCACTGGGCAAAGAGTAGGTAGATATTCTAAGCCTTAGAGTCCAAGATAAGGAGGAGACTATAGCAGAAGCTGCACTGCTGAGTAGAATTCTCATTTAGAACTGAGACACATGAGATTTTTCTTGCTATAGGTGGGCAAGCTGGGAGCCATAAGTGTGTTTATTACTTCTTCCTTGACGGAGGCAGAAATATGGTTATTTTAAACAGTTGGCACATGTTTCGCTGATAATAATTTAAGTGCATAAAGACTGTGTTCATTTAGCTAATATTCATTGAGCAGTTGTATTCCTGGCCCTATAATTAGGTCCTGGGGACACAAAGATACATCATTCAGTCCTGTCCTCAAACATTCTGCAGTCTAGCAGGAGAGGCAGATAATTGACCAACTAATGTTATATATTAAGTTCTATAGTGGTTATCTGAATAGCAAGCTATGAGTGCACAGAATACTTGATTCAAACAAATGTTGATCTTTCTAGGACTCTTGGCTTTCCTTTGACAAACAGCCCTGATAATCAACATACTTACTTTCCTTCAGCATCTATACAGGAGCTTTGTTTTTTGTTTTTTTTATTTTTATTTTTTTAAAGATTTTATTTATGTATTTATTTTCTTCCCAAAGCCCCCTGGTACATAGTTGTATATTCTTCGTTGTGGGTCCTTCTAGTTGTGGCATGTGGGATGCTGCCTCACGGTGGCCTGATGAGCGGTGCCATGTCTGCGCCCAGGATCCGAACCAACGAAACACTGGGCCACCTGCAGTGGAGCGCTCAAACTTAACCACTCAGCCATGGGGCCAGCCCCGCATTGTTTTTTAAATATTACTTAAGAGCGATGTGCAGGACTTTTCTAACCACTATATGTAAGAAATATTGGAGCAGAGGGAATAAAGGTAAAGCAATTGATTGCCACAGTAGTCCAATTGTAAGGTGTTAGGGTTATATATATACAATAGTGTCTGTGGAAGTAGCAAGGAAGGAGTGGATTTAAGACTGTGGGACTTGGCGAAGAACACAGTTTGAAGAACTGAGGAGAAAAATTTGAAGGACAAAATCTTGGTATCAGTAAGATAATCATACTAGTTAATACAGGGTCTTCACAGGCAACAACCTTTTACATGTCCTCTTATTTAATTATTATTTATTAATATTAATAATTATTATTATTATTTAAAATTCTCTTATTTTGAGGGTAGATGGGGGAGGTGCACAGAGTAGTCAAGTTTCACTCAGCACTAATTCTTAATAAAAGTGGATAAGTTGGATAATATAACTTTTTCTTTTGCTTGAGGAAGATTATCCCTGAGCTACCATCTGTGCCAGTCTTCCTCTATTTTATATATGGGTCACTGCCACACACTGTTGATGAACGGTGTAGGTCTGTGCCCAGGATGAAAACCCATGAACCTGGGCCACCGAAGCAGAGTGTGCTGAACTTAACCACAAGGCTGTGGGGCAGGCCCCTAGATAATATGACTTTTGACCAAAGATGCATCACTTTTTCTCATAGGAAATAATCTGGGTATGTGTGTGGGAAGAGGAAGGGGGTGGTTAAGTAATTGAATATGACTGTATGATGAACAACTGTGTTGGCTTTAAAAATCATGTGTTGGGAGAATATTTAGTAAATAATCTTGGGAAATTCTTATGATTTTTTTAAAAAAACAGAAGACTTAGGGCCAATCCAGTGATGTAGTGATTAAGTTTGCATGCTCCACTTTGGTGGCCAGGGGTTTACAGGTTCAGATCCTGGGTGCAGACCTACATGTCGCTCATCAAGCCATGCTGTGGCGACATCCCACATACAAAATAGAGGAAGACTGGCACAGATGTGACAGTGACAGCTTCCTGTGTCACTGACACAGCTCAGTGACAATCTTCCTCAAGCAAAAAGAGGAAGACTGGCAACAGATGTTCACTCAGGGCCAATCTTCCTCACCAAAAAAAGAAAAAACAAATACATAAATAAATAAAGTAAAAAACAGAAGACTTTTATGACATTAAATGGAAAAGAAAATAAATTGTGATACTTTCAGGGATTGGGAGATGTATTTCAGTTTGTATGTGAATGTAGAAAAACTAAGTGAATGTATATTAATTGTTAATAGTAGAATAATGGCAACATCACCGAAATAAGTTTATAGTTCCCAAACAGAAATACTTAGATAACTCGTTTTTATATTTAAGCTCTGGTATGTTTTTTAAAAGCCATTCTCATAGTTTTATAGATATAACCTCTATATTTATACTCATTAGTTCTTGGGTAAAATCTCATGGCTAAACATGGTTATAATTTAATTTCTTAGGACTATCTTATGGCATTATCTCTACAACAAGAACAGCAGAGCCAAGAGATCAATTGGGAGCAAATACCTGAAGGAATCAGTGATTTGGAACTAGCGAAGAAACTCCAAGAAGAAGAAGATAGACGAGCTTCTCAATATTATCAGGAGCAGGAACAAGCAGCAGCAGCTGCTGCTTCTGCTGCTACACAGGCCCAGGTGAAAACTCGAGTTCTGATTCTGAAATACAATGATCACTTTAGCAGTGAAGAAATCTACTGAGATAAGAATTTTTAAATTAGGTATTGACTCTTCAATTATGTTAACATTTTAGCACCCATTGGGTTTTATGACACGGTCCTAAGTTTGTGATTATCTTAATATATTTCTCATTTAGTGACATTACTTTTCCTGAGGTTCTGATGGCAAGATTTCTCAGATTTATTTTTTAAGTTCTTAATAGCTACAAGGAATATAAACCAATTTGAACAAAGTCTTTTCTATCAATTAGAGGGCAGTATGAGGTGCTACTGGAAAGAGTGTAGACTTCAGAGCCAGATAGATGTGAATTTGCATTTCCTGTTTCCGTCTCCCCTTACTAGTTGCAACACCTTGGACAAAGTCCTCTATCTCTCTTAGCCTCATTTTCCCTATGTGTAAAATAGAAGATAATACTTAACTTAGGTTTGTGGTTAAGAACAAATAATGTTAGTACTTAACCCAATGTCTGATATATACTAGGTATTCAACAAAAGTTAGCACCTTTCCTCCTTTCACTTTTCCCAGTTAAATGTTTTAAGCACTGAAAATGTGATTATTAAGTGAGTTTCTATATGTTAAATCTTATTTCATTAAAGGAAAACATATTCCCCTTCTTTTATGTTTAACTGTACTGTGCCAGCACTGTTCCTTGATTTGGATGTACAAGAAAGTAAGATGCTCTGAAAGGTCTGATAAAACTTTAAATATAGAAGACTCCACTAAAATATGTATAGCATTTCTGTTTCTAGCTCAAATATTGACTACCTCAAGCTTAAAAATTAAAACCTACCATGTTATGATTAACTTTTCATTTAAAAAGTTCTATTTCACAGAATACACTTATTCCACACTCTCAGTTCTCAGAATTTTTTTTCTCCAGTATAGTATTTAATGAGGTCTTTAAAAACTACTGTAGTTTACCAAATGGTGTCACTTTCTTCAATATTTTCTATACTTTAACATAAATATTTCTTGAATTTGAGGATTCAGGCAGTATCATCCTACAAACATTATCTTTTGAAATTCCAGAATGAAAATTATTCAGATACCACGTAACATAGCAAGTCTATACACCAATAGCTTCTTTTTCCATTAATGATTCCTTTCACTCTTGTGGCTTTTCTTTCTAGATAACTATGATTAAGCACCTTAGAAAAATTGAGGTAATTTCTTCCTATTTATTTTTCTTAAAGCAAAGCCAGCCAGCACAAGCATCTCCATCAAGTGGAAGACAATCTGGAAATAGTGAACGTAAACGAAAGGAACCTCGAGAAAAAGATAAAGAAAAAGAAAAGGAAAAAAATAGCTGTGTAATTTTGTAACAAGTGTTGGATTCTGTTGGAACCATCTATAGCCTTGAGAAACAAAACCGCAGGAGGAAAGGAAGAAAAACCGATAAATACCGTCTGTGCCTGATTTCCCAACGGATTTTGTTCATGTCTTCAGGGGAAAGGTTGTTACTTAGTTACAATCAGACTTTTTCAAGTCACACAGTACACTCTTTATGAGCTGGAGTTTCATGTTACAAGTTGGAAATGCTGTGTGTTGTCATTCATGAAAAATACTGCACTTGTAGCCAAATAAGCAGATCACAGCAAATTTTGTGTCATAGTGACATTCATAACTCATATCAGTTAGTAAGCTATTTTATCTTCTGTTCTAACAATGAATGGAGGTAATTGATTTTGTCTGATTCCTTTCTGAAATCTAAGTATTAGCACAATAGTTTCTGAAATTAATTTCTACAATGTTAGATTATGATCTAATCCACAAGAAACCAGGGGTTTAATATAGGGATTTAAAAAGAAAAAAAAAAGAAAAAAATAACAGGAATAAATAACCCTTAATTGTATATTGGACTAGTTCAGCCCTTGAACAGCTTTACCTTTCTTTAGGAATGTACATTTTAGATACTATCTTGAGAACTGATAGTGGAGTTTGGATTTAATCTAGATAGAAAAAAAAAATTTGTATTTCTTTTCCAATAGCAAAAAAATCACATAATACTAATACTTATATCCTATCCAAATCAGATATTAATGACTTTGTAGTGTTGTGAAATATTGAGGAATTTTGAAAATTTCAATATAGGTGACTTGGACCACAGTTACTATTTATTGATAGTGTGACGAGTGTAAGGAGGAAACCATAGGAGGCCACTATTTATTGATAGTGTGACAAGTGTAAGGAGGAAACCATAGGAGGCCACTATTTATTGATAGTGTGACGAGTGTAAGGAGGGAACCATAGGAGGCCACTATTTATTGATAGTGTGACGAGTGTAAGGAGGGAACCATAGGAGGCCACTATTTATTGATAGTGTGACGAGTGTAAGGAGGAAACCATAGGAGGCCACTATTTATTGATAGTGTGACGAGTGTAAGGAGGAAACCATAGGAGGCCACTATTTATTGATAGTGTGACGAGTGTAAGGAGGAAACCATAGGAGGCCACTATTTATTGATAGTGTGACGAGTGTAAGGAGGAAACCATAGGAGGCCACTAGGGTTTGTAAATATGGGAGTGTAGAAGAGCAGATAGTTCGATGTCTACCTTTTTCTAGAATTACCTTGAACCTTAAAACTTAAATCATGTTTATTTGCTAGAAAATTAGGTATACTTATTAAAACCAACAAAAAAGCACATTTCTGAAAGGAAGTTAGAGATAATCTCTGAGACTAGTGAAAAAGCATTAACAAAAATCTGTTTGAGAATAGATAGAATTTGGAGGAATTTATGTAAAAGCAATCAGATTTTTTTAACTTATGGGAACCAAATAAACCTATAACATCTTGTAGTGTTTATAGGATTTAGAAAGAATATTTATTGAATTTTATTATGAGGCAACACATATTTTCCTGTATTTCTAGATCTAGTTTGGAAAACTATACTTAATAGTCCTTTTTATATGCTTTATATTTAAAAGTTTGTTTTAGTCATTTTTGAAACAACTATTGCTGCTGCAAGTAGTTATGTGATTTATATTCTAAGCCTCGGTAAATTTGTTTGTTTAAGAGCATCTTAATCTAACCTGAGCATCCACTCGGAGAATGTTTTTTGTGGTCTGGAGTGACGATAGACTACAAAAAATGTGGTCTAGATTTCTTAAGCTATGTCCTTAACATTCTTCGTGATCCAAGACCGGTTATAGCATAAGTCTATGTGTAAAAAGTAAAGTCTTATTTATGGAAGAAATTATTCTAAGGGAAAAATCCAGGGTCAAGCTGTGTCTTTAATGTCCTTCTGTATTGCATGTCTGTTTATGTTATACATTTGTTATTCCTTCAAATATCCTATGTTAGCATGATAAATCATCAGAGAACCTGTTTGGGGTATAAGACCTTGATACAAAATATTTGGTGACTCTCTTGATAATAACCCAGAATATGCGTACTTTGGTAAGTAATCAAATGCACTACAGAATTGTATGTTGGCTCAAACAAGTTGACCTTAGTCCAAGTTTACTCTTGGTATTACTGTGTTGGTTGAAGGAGGAAACTCAAACCTCAGGGTTTGTTTTTCCCAGAGTAGATAGTAGTGACAGTGCACTATATTTTAATAAGACAGAAACAAAACAATAAAACCTGAGGAATTTTTAAAAGCACATTTGAGGCATATTTTTCCATAATTATATACTTATCTATTTATTGCCCTTGAAAAATATATGTGTAGAAGTTATTCTTCTGTTATTTGTTACTATCTTCTTAATTTGTTCCAAAGATAATACTGCCGTTCTGCATTCCCTCTGGAAGAAAACATAAAAAACTCACTCAAAACCAGCAGTGCTGCTATCAGATAAGTAGATGTCAATGTATACTTATAAGGAATAACTAAAACTGTAATGTGTTTGTTAAGTCAACTTTTTTCTATGTAATATTTCCAGATCAGACTTTCTTACATTCCCGGAATTCAGTTTGATATACCAAGAGTAATAATGATAAAATGTTCGCTTTGATTACTGTGGGGAAAAAATTAAAAGTTCGATTCTATTAAAACAAACAAACTTCTCAGAGATACTGGTTTCCCATCCTTGAAGGCTATAAAGAATTAACAGCTATTGTCTCTTTCTCCTTATATTTTGCTCAAGGCAACAAATTATATATTCAGACATTTCATTGCTGGTTTGGGTACATTGGAGTTTGGTAGAGGTATATTAAAGTCTTTCCTTCACAGCATTTTGTAAGACCTGAAAATTATTACATGTACATTACTAGCAGAAGTTAGAACTTAAACATTTTTGTTTTTAATATTTATAGGCTAGATTAGGGACACATTTGCATTAATCAAACACTGTTAGAGCTTGGAAGAGAGGCACATGAATGAATGGATATGGTCACTGCACTTTCTTGTACTTTCAAAGCCTATTCCTCAAGGTTAGCAACCAGTCTTTATTAATAATATGAAAATTTTCTTCGTCTGATCTCACTGAATCAACAATGCTATGATTTACAATAGGTTATCAACACTTAAAAGTACTTATTTTGTGTGTGTCTGTGTGTGTGTGTGTGTGTGTGTGTACTTCTAAAGCAAGGATCCATGACTTCTATTAGATTCTCAAAGGAATCTGGGAAATTTCCCTCAAATTTAAGCATCACCATTTTAAGAATATACATGCACATATGTACATAGACACAGTAAGCACTTTGAGGCAGCTAAAATTGGCATTGGCTGCTTCCTATAATATACTGGTCCAGTGTACTTAGGTAAAGTAACTTCTTCCATATTTCAAGGTGTCAGGTTAGTAGTTGAATGAGGCATAGATTTAAGTTTAGGATTAGGTTTTGGAATATATTTTGTTTTATCGTCTCACATTTCTAGTATTTGACTAATTATCCCATATTATGTTTTGAATTCTTCCTCATACATCTTGATCTTAGCTTAATTAAGCAAGTTAGTATCAGAGATTAGTTGGCTGAACTCAACATTAACTATTTTGTACTTGCACAAACACTTAACATTTTGTTTTCAGTGAATCGCCAACTTAGTTCACCAAGAGACAGAAGATCTTGAGAGGAAAGAGGACTAGAAGTCAAATAGATATTTAACGAAAGAATTAATATGGTCCCTGTATTAATGTTGGCATATGAAGCAGATATTTATAAAATCCTGCTGGAGAAAAATCAAGGCAAGAATTTCCAGCATTGTCCTCATACAATCTCATTTGTTTAAAATTTTTTTTAAAAAGGCAAATTGATTACATTTTGCTTAACTTTCCTATTCACTGTGCCAGTTATGTTAAAGCATGATGGAAAGCTTATGGGCTTTACTTGTCACACAATACTTGGGCATACAACTTAAACTATACTTGTAAACTTACCAATGTTGATAAAATAACTTGAAGGCATTAAAGATAGTATATAATTTGGATTTTGAGAAACTGGAAATGTGGAATTCTGAATCGTTTTATGTCTAAACACCTGGGCTTTTATCTTGCCATGGGCAAACTTTCTGTGCCTCGCTTTACATATGTAAAGGATGCTCATTTTTTTAGTGCTCTGCACTCCTGAATAAAGGGCTTAGTATAAGCACAGAGTGTTATTTAAATAATCATAAATTTTGTACATCTTTTATTCTTGAATGTGCAGACTTTTTTCCCAATGACAATATTTCTTAAGCCAGTTTTTTTGCTGCTGTCAAAATTTGTAGAATTATCTTATCTTTGAGTATGGCATCATCTCTTCCTAAAATGTATTTTACAGTTGCTTTTCTGTTCTGTAGTTGCTTTTGTGGACTATAGGGTCAAAATCAAGAGTATTTTGAGAGTGTAAAATCATTAAAGACCTGTTTTCTTCCAGTATCTTCCATATATCTAAATATTTAGATTCTTTTTGCCTTTTCCTCCATGGGACAAAGTACGCTGGTATCAGATTACTAATACATATATGTAAGCTTTTTTTGCATGGATGGAATTTATTTAGATCTCTCAAGTACTGTCATTTTTAGGGCTATTTAAATTATTTCTGTTAGTATAAAATGTTATTTGATAATGTGCAGTTAATTTCCTTTTAGGAAGTGAGTGAAAATGGTAAAGGAACTCATCGGAATCAGAGTTATTAGGTTCTCTGGTAATTTAGTGTATTTTTTTCACTGATATCTAACAATTCTAAAGCTAATGGGAAAACATTATGAAGAATTGAGGTTACTCTCCTTGGGTGACTCTTTAAAACAAACTAAAATTTAAAATCAAAAGCTTCCTGAACGAAATAAATTCAAAATCGAGAAAATGAAGTCTGAGGGACAAATTGCAGGACTCTGATAAGTTTAACGTATTTTGAAGATCTATCTAAATTTTAATTTGTGCACGTCTCTTAATCCTGGTGTTTCTGCGTTAAGAAATCAGAGTTTAATAAATTGTGGTATGTATACATATTTTTACATGAAGGATTCTAGTTTCTAATTTCACTTTTCTGATCTCAAAAAAATTAAACTCAAAAAACAGGGTAAAAGTCTTCAACTATTGCCTCAAATTCAGCTTTATCCTATTGTCCTGATTTAGACTTGTCTGCCTATAACATATTTTTTAGGGCATGGTACTATCCCAGATAAGGTGTTGAAATACCATGGCAGAAATACAAAACCTAAGCTTTAAATAACGACAGTAGATTTTAAAAACAAAAAGCTATATTATTATTCTACAATGTTTCTCTATTTCATCTGATATTCTAAGAATTTCTTCAAATCACTTACTTTGTCACCATTAACTTTAAAAATGTTATATCCATCCTCACTGTAATATCCTGCTTTGAGAAGCAGGGATGCCTCCTAGATTAGAGGATGCACAAAGCAAAATTCTTCTGAAAGTGATCGTGGCTTCTTTGGCTCTATTATTTACAGCTTCAAACAGGAAGTCGGGAAACTAAAATGCCCATTTAAATTCCCAAATCAGTGACTTGTCCAAATAGGCATTATGACTGAAATACCCTACAGAGCAGTTTGAACTAAGGGAATGTATTTGAAGACTAAGATTGGCATTTAATCTTTGAAGATCTGTCCTGTGTTTCTCTCAATTTTGTTGGTTTTTGTTGTTGTTCTTTTTTTGTATTTTAGTTGTATGAAATAACCATTTTTTCCCTGAGTACATAGTATATCTTAGCTTTACAGATTTGTAAAGATGAGGGTTTGAAAATCTTCCACCAGTTTTTGGTTAAAAAGCTATCTTCCTCAATAAAATGACAATTATTGTTTTCACAGATCAACATATCACAAGTAGGACAATAGGATAGAAGACTGATGTATGATTGCTACACGACAGTCAGCAAAAGGGATAATCTTCACTTGGGAAACGGCAGAGGTACCTTGAAAGTCATTTCCTAAAGTTAGTGCATGTGAGCCTTTTTCCTTGAATTGTGCAGAACAATTGGATTGTGGCACATATTTTGAGGAATAGCAAGTGAAATGCTATATAGCAAGAAGAAACAAATTTTCTTCCTCCACTTTTCTGTTGAACTATTTGGGTCAAGAAGTTTCTATGACATATCATAGATTTCTTTGTGCCAGGCCAGAATTGGCCAACTGAAATAGAGTTTTCAAAGAGCTTAAATATATAGATTGCATATGAGTGCCTATTTTTTCTCCTCCTTTCCTTTACTGTCTTAATGCCCTTTCTACTTCTGAAATAATTCATCTCTTTTGCTTTATGACCAGCTTAAATTCCAGTTTGAGAATAACAGCAACCCTAGAGATTGAGGAAGTGCATTGAAATACATTTTTTTAATAAAGACACCTTAAAGCATCTACCCAGCTTAGGGTTGAACTGAATTTCTGTGAAAGAAAGTTGTTTTAAAAGCTAATTATGCTAAAACTATTTAATTCTAAAACTATGTCTTAAACAAGTTTCAAAAGTTTCACTTTGGGAGGATATTCCTAAAAAAAGGCATATCAAACATAGACAGGAAAGTATATTTCTAACAGAATTATTCAGTATTATTCAACATTTAATTTCATGTTTGTTATTGTACTACAAGGATAGGTCATTCTTGGATTAAAATGTTGGAGTTTTTGTTAATATACTTAAAACTGTAACCAGTGATATCACCTTTAGTATTTTTTATTATAGATTATATTTTATTTCAATAAACTTTGATATTTAGACCAAACAGTCTTTCTGCTATGTATATTCGTCTCAGTAAGCTACTTCTTACAAATTTAAGATGAATGTGGAATTAGGGAATTGACATACTGATTCACATTTACCTAGGATTAACTCTTAGAACACTTGGACCAACTCTTGATAAAGACTGATTTTCCCCCCAGAAGTGGGAACAAAGAAACAATTTACTCTAAACCTAATCATAGTTAACTACCTGATCCCAGTGGTAGATTTATTATATCTGATACTTCTATCCTCTTGGAGGACTAAGTAAGAAAGAGCTGAGAAGGAATCATTTTCTCTTTACACCAAGCCAACCCTGCTGTAAAGTTTTGGTCCAACAATTTAATGTCCAAACCGGCTAATGTCAGACATTTCTCTAAAGCTTTCTTAGACTCCCTAGCCCTCTAAGCAGAATTGGTCATTCCTCATAGTGTTTTGCAGACCTCTCCTCATAGCTTAAGCTAGGTTGTGAGCCTTTAAGGACAGGGATCATGTCTTATTCATCTTGATTTTCTTGGCAAATTACATGATAATTACTTCAAATGAACTTGAATATCTATTTAGAGGAATTTTTTTAAATACCTATATTATGTAGTTATTGCTTGCTTGTCCTTTAAGTAGGATAACTAATAAGTTGGGTTATGGAATTAGTTTTCCACATTAGCATAAAAGTTATATATAGAGAGGGAACTAATGAGAAGATACTTTGATTAAGGAGATTAAGAAGGCTACTTAAGCCTTGTAAAAGTAAACATTTTTCTGGGGCCAACCCTGTGGCCAGTGGTTAAGTTCACCTGCTCCGCTTCAGTGGCCCAGGGTTTCACTGGTTCGGATCCTGAGCGCAGACATGGCACTGCTCATCAAGCCATGCTGAGGCGGCATCCCACATGCCACAACTAGAAAGACCCACGACTAAAGAAAACATACAACTTTGTGCTGGGGAGCTTTGGGGAGAAAAAGGAAAAATAAAATCTTAAAAAAAAAATTTTTTTTTCTATTTTCTCCAATTATAATGTTAATCCTGCCATGAGGGCTGAGATCAACCTGGACTCAGAATGGCTCAGAGTGAAAAATGAGGAACAAACAAAACTTTAGAATACACAGAATAATATAATCATGAATTCCACATATAACTTTGGAAATTGTGGCATGTTCTCCTTGGAGAGTAATTTGGTTACTCACTTATCAAGAATACAATATACCAGGAAACCCAGGAAGCTAGACTTAATAGGAATGACCACATTTGGACAGTCAATGATCTGAATTTAAAGCTGTGGCATTAAATTTTAAAAGTGGGTATAATAGAAGTCAAGCGCATAGGACTAAGAAAGTCAGGCTAAAGGCAGCACCTTCAACAAATTCAAGGCCCTATTGGGGAGGAAAAAATCATTTTTCTCCTACCCTTCTAACTTCTCAGCTGGGACCCATGTAACAGAAAAGAGATTAATAAGAGAAAAACAAATAGGGGCCAGCCCAGTGGCATAGTGGTTAAGTTTGCCTGCTCTGCTTTGGTGGCCCAGGGTTTTCAGGTTCAGATCGCAGGCGCAGACCTAGCACTGCTCATCAGGCCACGCTGTGAAAGCATCCCACGTAAAATACAAGATTGGCACAGATGTTAGCTCATGTCCACGAAAATAATCCATAACCAATCTATAAATGAAAATTTGGGTGAGTTTATTCTGAGCTGAAATCTGAGGACCATGGCCCGGGGCCTTTCTTCCCAAAGGAAGAAAGGGCACCAAAGAAGTGAGGTGTACAGAGTGGTTATATACCCCCAAGCAGGACGTTTCACATATGATTGAGATGTCCCTCCCACAATAGTCACAAGATTGCCCTGTCAGCACAGCGCTTGATGGACACAGGAGGTAGTGGGTCTGCTATCTCAGAGGGCCTAGCAGGAGGCAAGTCTATTGTCTCGAGCTGGGCGGCCACAGGTGAGCGCAGCAATCAGTTTCTAGCCTAAGGAAAGATGCTTAATCCTTAAAGAGATGCCAACGTTGGGAGGGGGAGGGAAGTTGCACCTTTATCTCAAGGGCCTTTGTTCTTGCCATAGGGAATATCTAAACCAGACATACAATGCATGCTCAACAGCTACGGTCAGGCCCTTTTGGAAAGACAAGTTCAGGCCAAATTAGGTTTATACCAAATGGCTTCCTCATATTCTCCAATATATCCTATTGCTTGCCATTTTTATTCGTCACTCAGCAACAATCTTCCTCATGCAAAAAGAGGAAGATTGGCAAAGGATGTTAGCTCAGGGCCAATCTTCCTCACACTCACACAAAAAACAATATTAATAAAAAAACACAAATTTATTAACATGTATATCTCATGTACATGTGGAAGATAGGGGAAAATTAGTAACTCTGAGATGTGGCTTAGAATCCAGGCTTAAATACCATTTCAGCTAAAGACAAAAGAAAGAAGTGTGGTGGGGAGACCAGTTATGGGGAAGTAACCCCATAACTGGGGAGAAAAAGTATGGTAAACAAGAAAAAGATTTGTTCTGCAAAGTCTTTAGTTGGTGCCTTCTCCATTGATAAGATTCTCTTGCGCTTTAGTCATCCTCTTTCTGGTAAAGGAAGATTTTCTTTATAAATGTAAATTTCCATTACAAAAGGGTAACTTCTCTGTTTTCAGAGCTTCTGTGTCTGCTGTTTCTCAAAATAATCAGTTTAAAATAATACTATGTCAAAGAAGCATATTTTGGGGTAGCACATTCTGTTACTCTTCAGTTGACTGAGGCAAAGGCTGACAGCCTACAAAGGGTTCTTCATCCTTTTGAAGATTTTTCTTTGGGCTGCCAGCCTTATTAAATAAGTCACTAGAAAGAAGTGATGATAAGGCGATAGCCTCTGAATACTGGCATTTCACCGAATACCTTAGTCCTTAAAACAGGGAACAGACTGCTTACTAATAATTATAACAACAATACTCTTCCTTTATTGGGATATTACTATGTATCAGACATTGTACTGTTTATATTCTTATTCTTACTTCATCCTCACAGCAATTTTAGGAGGTTGATACTGTCACAGTTAAGGAAACAGAAACTTGAAAGATTAAGCAACTGGTAAAAGGTCATTCCCAGTGGCAATGTTGAAATTTAAAACCAAACCTGTCTGTCTAACTCCAAAACCCACTCTCTTTACTTCAAAATTATAGAAGCTTTCACAAATTTGCATGCCATTCTTGACTCCTTTGATATAGACAATGGTCATCAGTTCTCCTAAACGACGGAATTAATCTCAACATAGGGAGGCTGAAGAAAATCCTT